GCAGGAATGGCTGGGGAAGGCAGGGAGGGAGGAGTGGCAGTGGGAGGATTAGGGGTAGGAGGAGAAGTAGGCATGGATATGCGAGGTGGGACAGATAATGGGACAGAGGCTGGGGAGGATTCGGATGATGACGGCCGTGGCTCAGCATCAGAGATCTCCACCATTGCCAAGGAGGTGGACAAGGTGAACCAGATCATCAACAATTGCATTGATGCACTGAAGCTGGATGTGTCTGCTAATGTTGCGAACACGGCTGAGAATGCCAGCTCTGTGTCCTCCTCCCAGCCTCCAGCTTGCGTTGCGTCCCTCCCTCGCAACCTCCTGCCCCTCTCTCCAGGCCACCCCGGAGATCAGATCATGGCCTCTTCTCCAAAGGTGCATCCAAAATCTCACCCCCAGCCTCATCCTCAGCCTCATTCACAGCCTCACCCTCAGCCTTATCCTCAGCAACATGCTCAGCCTCATCCTCAGCTACATCAGCAGCCTCACCCACCTTCTATGGCCCCAGTGCCCCTGGTTATGCCCCTGTCTGAGCGGCCGGGTATCAGTGGCGGGGGATTCCTCTCCCCTCCTTACCGTGACCCACCCCCAGCCAATGCAGTGCGGCCCCTTCAGAGGCAGTTGAGTGCTGATACTGCTGTGGTGAAGAACCGTTGTGGTGCCCCTGGTGTAGGATCTGTCAAAAGCACCAGGTTGTTCAGTGTGGATATCCCTGAGCAGCGCAGCGATCCTCCCAAATACCCAACAGAGAAGGGTAGCCCCTTGGGTTGTGGTGCAGGGGGTGGAAGTGGAGGAGTTGGTGGAGTAGGGGCCTGCAACGGGAATGGAATGGGAAACATAAACGGTGGTGGGGTGAGTGTGAATGGGGGTGGGATGGGGTGTAACAATGGGAATGGAGGTGGAGCAGCTGGCCCTGGACAGCAGCAGCACCATTTAGAGGTTCAGCCAGACTACCACAGCTCTGAGCACCGCCACTCCTTTCCTGCACTCTACTATGAGGGCAGCAACGACTCACCCTCACCAGCCCAAAAGGCCTCATTCCTCAAGCCTCTGGGACGCAACAAGAGGGATGCCACAGCCACCTACTCCCAGCTCTCACCTTCTCGCCACCACAATTACAACTCTGGCTACTCCTCCAGTCCAGAGTATTCATCTGAGAGCACACTGCGGATCTGGGAGCGATTCCGCCCTTACAAGAAAAGCCCCAGAGAGGAAGCATCCTATATAGCGGCAGGCCATGCCCTGCGTAAGAAAGTGCAGTTTGCCAAGGACGAGGACCTTCATGATATTTTGGACTACTGGAAGGGAGTTTCTGCCCAGCAGAAGCTGTGAGCTGAAGAAGCAAAGTCAAATGCCGTAAGGGAGATTGTGAGGTTGGATGCCAACCACAGACTACTAAAGAGAATAGATGCTAATGTAGCTAGAAAGATAATGAGGTTTCATCTGTGGTGTCCGGTGACATGGGTCATTTCACTACTGGATCCAGAGTTAAAGAGGTATTCTCTGTGGGTGATTTTTAAAAAGTGATTCTATGATCATGTCTTGACATTTTAAGAGGCTGTTTCTGATGTTGGCTGTTTTCACCACAATACTGATTAACAAGAATCAAGCTGTTTACCAGACTGTCTCATACTGGGCACTTTGGTCCTTGCAGGCTTCCATAGCTCCGCTGAAGCCTCACTAATGAGCAAAGCAAAGCTGGTGACAAGCAAGTGTCTACCTCATTACTGGTACACTGTAGCTCAGCTATCTCACCACAAGCAACCCCATTCACAATTTAAGCCCAGTCCCTCTTTTCTCTAATCCCATCAAACCACCATTCACAAAACAGTCATTCTATGGCACCTCCAGCACCTGCTCTCTTATAAAAGCATCATTTAGGGAGATAATGAGGGAACAGAATGAGGAATTAGGTGCATTTGTTTTAGAATAGCACCAATCTCCCTCTTTGGGGGAGGACATTAAGTGATACTTATCAGGCTAATTGTTCTTTCTGGCAGTTAGCCAGAGTAAGAGTATGTTGGGGAGGCTGTGTGTTGAGCATGTTTATTGATTTTAAGCACCTAACTAGATATGTTCAGAGGTGTGCAGGCATGTATATAAAGTTAGCGCATGCTGGTGTGAGTGATTATGTGGGGGTGGGAGAGTAGGGTTGGGGTGGCGTTGTCCATTATTCTCAGTCTCCTCTATGGTAGCAAAGTGGATAGCTTTGTGGACATGCTTTTCATATCAAGCTAGTTGGGGAGTTGTGTGTGTGTGTGAGCATGTGGTTACGTGAATCTGTGTTTGGCCCCGCCTGACTGTCTCAATAATGTGAAATAAACCCTTTCAAGACCTGCAGGCATTTTTTTCTCCTATTCCATTTCCTATTTACAGGTGTAGCATATTTCTTTTGATAAGGGCAGCTATGAGGTAGTAAATTTACATGTCAATAGTGCAGAAATTACTTTAGGGTGGGTTATGCATGTTGGCAAAATAGGTGTTAGCTCCTTTATGAAAGAGCTCAGTAATCACCTTTAGGAACAGAGGCAGATTGAGAGCAGGTTAAAGGTTTGCTGTAGCTGCATCTTAGTTTGAACTTGCCAGTGTTAAGGAGACAAGATAGGGTTCAGTGAATTTTCAGCTTGAGATGAACCAGCTTAAGGTGAGGCTGCATAGAACTTTAAAATATGTCAAATGCACCCTGCACTACACAGTGAGATAAGATGGATGGTAAGCAGAGTGAAGGCCTGAGGGATATATTCAGCCTCAGACTATATGACCCAGCTCTGCTCTGGGTGGGAGCTTGTAATGACCAAATTGCCCTTGAGAGGTATGATTTCACAAGCTTCTGTTGTATTTATTACATTTGTTTTTGTTTTTCAACACGGTGAATAGAAAATAAGGTTGTCCCAATGAGCAAGTAACTGTATTACTTTAATTTGGTTTATTAATGTTAAGGCTTTGGGGTTTAGGCTATGAGTGGTTCAGTGAAATCCACTGAAACAAATAGGAGCAAGGCTTGGTGCACAGACCATGTTTTTTTACTCATGTTCATGAAAACAGCATTCTAATACACATACTCATAAAAGAAGTAAGAAGGTTGATAATTCTAACTGTACAATGTTTTAACATTTATGTATTCAAAACACAAGTACCTCTAATCCACAAATAATCTTTATGCTCTTTCCTTGCATCAAAATTTGCAGTTTCAAAATGTTGATTTCAATTGACTTTATTTCTTTTGCCACCCATTCTTCTTACTGTATCCTCGCCAGTGGTGTCTGACCCCTCTTCCTCTTCCACTATGCATTTCAATTGAAAAGGTATATATTCTGTTTTAAAATGTCTAATTAATTAATACCACTCCATGTTTTGTTTTGTTTTGTTTTTTGTTTTAGTTTTTTTGTCTGGCATCACCTTGGTCAAACCTAATGAGGTAAATTAATGAGTAATTCTCAGAGGCTGATATTCTACCATCATTTGAGGTCAGAAGAATGTGCTGATATTATTAATTCTGCCAGACTTGGAGCCTGATTGAAATTAATGCCTTTATCTGTTTATCTTTCTTTCTGTTCCTACCTCCTTCATCAGAAATTTAGCCGGGTTACACATCTCTGTTGCAGACAGGAATGGTCCTCAGACAAACAGACTGAAACATTAAAGTCAGATGTATGCTTGACCATGACTTTGTAGGTTATGAGCAGGCCAAGGTGAGCTAGTCTGAGATCTAACCTCTTGGGTGATGTGTGTTGTCGTTTGAGTCTGACTGGTCAGGAAGAGCCTGTCAAGCAGGCCTAGAAGTTATGAATTTCTGTTTGATTTTCCACCAGGTTGACCCCGATATTATTGTTTTGAATTCAGGTGTGAGTTTGATAGGAAAGTGAAAGCAATGGGTGTCATTTAGCCTTTAACCTATAAAGATCTTTGTCTAGCAGATGAGCTCTCTTCAAAAGGTCAGCTACTAGGAGATGCATCTGCTGTGCCCTTCACAGCAAGGTCTGTCACCCTTTGTATTCAGGAAACATTTTTAATTGCAATATTTCAGTCCTATGAGGATGCTTACCTCCACTGTATTGGTGTGCTGACAGAAACTTCAGACAGATATATGTATCGAAGCCCTGGCAAATAAATTAAAAGCTATCTGAACATCTAGATACCTTGAGGGGTAAATGAAAAAACATGTTTTAATAGAATGAACTGACCATTTAATTATGCTGTAATGAAAAGCTGTTCATTTTTATACCCACTGTTTTTGCTTTTGATATTCCATTGTGTTTCATATTGAGTAATGACTTCCTCTCTGACCTCTCTATGTCAGCTATGGCAGCCAATCCAATAGCCCCACTAGCATTCACAATGGGATGTCAAAGGCACATCATTACTCTGCTATCAGATCAATAGAACTTAATTTGGGCAGGTCACACCAAATAAAAAACACAGAACAAATTCCCTCGGGCACTAACTTGGACAGCCTCCATTTTTATAAGGACCCAGTTTTTTATTTTGACCTTTTGCTCAAATTCCATTGGCAGCTCCCTCTGTGTTAGGTCCAAGGAATCACCAATCATTTAGTTTTAGATTACTACCAAGGGCTATGCAGGGGTAGAAGATTTTTAAAAATAATGACTTCATTTGAAAGAGCAGAGAATCGAGCTGAGGTTACCTGCACAAACCCTCAAGACCTTTTTCTAGATGTAGGGAATAGCTTTAGCTCAGTCACAGTATTTATAAGCACAGTGTGCCCAATTGTCATAATTTACACCTAATAACATCACTCATTTCTGTCCAGCTGTGTGGTTTTCTCCAAATAAACGCCAGTCAGCTCTGCCTTGTTTGAGTACATATTACTAATATGTTTTAACATACAGTCGTCCATGGTAGCCAAGCCTTGCTCCTCTTCATCACTTAACATACTGCATGTCCTTACTGTATTCATCTATAGCAGTTATTTTTAGTTGACAGTAAGCTTTTTGATTTCCCTTCCTTAAAATGAGGGGTGCCTGACTCCAGTCCTCAGGGGCCAGAATGAACAAGTCCAGACTGACAGGTGCACAGATATTGTTCGTTTGGAATTGCCTGTGTGTCTTCTCTCCAGTCTGGCCAATTAACAGCAAAAATGAATCAATATGAAGGAATTGCTGACAGTCTCAGGCAGGCTTCCACAAGAAAAAGGATCAGGAAACAACTGAGACAGCACAATCTGTGGCAGTCTCTGAGGAGTAGAGTCAAACCCTCTCTGTCCAGAGCTGTAAATTCCATAGGGACATTGAAACTTGTAGTCAAGCAGGACGTCTGCTCTGAAAAAATAATAAAACTCTCACTGTTCCTCTTGTTTTCCCAAGATGGGGTGAGCGGGAGTCTAAGTACCAAAAAATCTGAGGCGAACAGCTCTGGTGAATGTTGTCCCAAGATGGGGTGAGCAGGAGTCTAAGTACCAAGAAATCTGAGGCGAACAGCTCTGGTGAATAGGCAACAACCTTTTTTATCAATCTAAGAACTAGAAGGATAATTTTTAGAACCCTCAAAGTATGTTTTTGTGGTTTTACGCTGTCTTAGAGTCTCGGGGACTCATTGTTACAAAATTTTGGTTTTTCATTTCAGGTTTGTAAGTTTTTGAGGTTTGGGCTTATTGAAAAACACAAATCAATAGTCATGGAAAATCATGGAACATCCCTACTGATTGCCTCCCTTTGGAGTTCTAGGTGTTTTCAGTGTGAACCTCTGGCAGGGAAATTGTTGACTTGCAATGGTCACCTGGGAATGGCAGTGAGGTCCTTTTGCTCCTGTTTAATTAACAGTTGAATCCATACAACAAGGTCTGCAGTAGAAACATGGACATTGTTTTAATGCTGTAAACATTAAAACATTGTATGGATACACAGCATGGCTTCACATTTGCAGGAGTAAACTCAGAAGCATTCTTCTTTCTGTCCCCTTATGCCCCTACACCATTAACAAGTTAATGGACCTTAAGAACCGATGCTGTGAATATAACATTTTGTCACCTCTCCTGGAGTTTCAATATCACTACACAGAATGGGAGTTTTGGGACAGACGTTATGTGATAGAGGAAATGCAACAAAATATCCCTAGAATATAATCTCCAAACTTGTGCTGGTACATTTGTGTCCCCTTACAAGATTGTGCAATCTGCTAAACAGAATAAAATATTTATGCTGTAATCATGTAAAATATAATACCTTTTACATCAGATACACTGAAGAAGATAAGTATATCTGTGCCATAGTGTGACAGGGCGGGACAGTTCTGCTTTCCACTTTAGGGCTAAGCAAGGCTAGCCGGAACTTAATTCACAGTTCATTACTGCTTCTTCATTCAGAAATGTCTTTAATTTCTTGCTGCTGTTGGACAAGAATCATCAACAACAATCAGAGCCATGCCCACTTAACTAACTTGTGTAAGGAAGCTGTAGATAGACTGTCATCAATCTTGAAAGCCAGAGCCAAATATCCAATAGGCCTCTTTTCCTGTCTCGAAGGCAGGCCTTAATCACAGGCTGTCTTCCTGGACTGGCAGACCATCACTTTACAATAGCCACAATCTGAATCTTAATCTCCTTGATTATTTGATTGATAGATGTTCCTGGAGCCAATGTGCAGAGACGAAAGTCTACTGCTTGAAAGGCTCAGCTCAGGGCACAAGCACCCCCTCCTTGAAGAAGAACAAATTTTGTCTGGTTAAGGTCCATTCAGCTGAAACCCCATGAACACAGCAAGAAAATGCAGAGAAAGTTGTTAAATATTATGACACCATGAACTGAAAAACAGAAACTATCCAGAGTAAATGTAACTTAGCTTGTCAGTTCAGAAAAGCCCTAACAGGTTTGGCCAATAGGCAGACTAGTTATAAAGCCAATCTGATCACTGGAAGGAAGGTTAGGCTAGGCACTTAACCTAACCTTACCTTGGGCAATTACATTTTGGTGATAACTGGGGAATTTTAAAATTGCTCTTAGTACTGACATAGGAACCCATTTTAAACATTCGTATTTTCTAAAATATAGAGTGCCGTAGAGAAGATGTATTTTTGTAGGTCAACCCAGAAGCCTGGTTCCCTTGGCAAAAAGCCAGTGGGAGTTCTCTGTCACACATATTTTGCAAGATAATATCCACAAATAAATAAATTTTTTGAAATCTACGTACAATCGCCAGATGTTAAAAGCTAATGTTAGTATATAAACAAACTACACTATACACCACCCATGACTTCAGCATCAACACTGCTAAGCTTCCAGTTTGTATGAAATTTCTTCCTCTTAGTGTGACCTGATCTATCTAGTGATTGTGACTGTGTAGGTTACTTAGAATAGTTGGCAAGTGAACGAGATGAAACATAACGAGGCTGCAAAGGCAGACTAGAGAGTAGATCAATCTCCATGATCGGTCAGATGATATTTAATATTCATTACACCCTCTGTAGTCTTATTTATCCACTTGTTGTCAGCCAAAGATGCATAAAAGTGTAAAAAACATTTACTGATATATTTTATGTCAGAGAACAAAATGTGACAATCGTTAACCACAGATCTTTTTTTAGTCATCTAACAAAACACCCATTGTCTTTGGGGTGAGGGAACCTAAAGAGCAGAAATACTACTCAATTCTGGGTTTTAGGTCTCACTACTACGGCACTAAGTTTCTAGACTTCCGCTGATTTTATACATAAATGCCTTGGCATTTTGGTATCGCCTTCAGAGGTACTCTGTCCTTGAGTGGCATGCTGGTAGACCACTCGGTCTTGGCCCTGGCTAGTTTTACTGGCTCTAAAGAGGAAGCAGGACTGTGGTTTAACTGTGAACAATGCTGTCTGCTGTTGAGACCGAGTCATTAGTTTGTTTGATTCTTTGATTCTTCCACTGATCCTTTCACTCATCATCAACCCAATGAGAAGGACTGACCAAGGGAGTTCCCTCATGAAACCAACACACAACAAAAGTGGGTGTGTATCTACCGGTGGCCAACTGTGACAAACACACACTTTCACAAAACCTCATACACACACCGACACTAATGTAGAGAATCAATGAATATATTGTACGTGTTTGAATAGATTAGAGTTACACTATATGGACATGACATGTGAGAACACACATAACATATATCTTCCCACACATAACTGAGAATATTCATAACACACACACATTTATACTCACAAACACTTTCCCACACACACAGAACATACCATATTCACACCTGCCTACACTAAATATGGACTGAATATTTCTATCCACGTTTACAGATACAAATCGTCTTAAAGTGCCCAAAAGGCGAGTATTATGTGCAGGCGGTGTGGAACCAAACAGCTGTAGAACTAAACTTAAAAGCTTATGTCTTTTTTGTTTTGTTTTGTTTTATCTGTTATTTACTTGTTTGTAAAATGTATGCATTCATTTTCTCAACTGTTTGCATTTCAATCTTGTAGCCTGTTCTAATCTTTTGTCTTTTTTATGTTAGAATGAAACCTCTTCTTGTGAATGCCACATTTGGAGTTCTCATGGGTCCTTCTGATCTGTCTGACTTTAAAATTATTAGATACAGAAATGAACTGAGAGCACAATTTTTAATCAGCCAATATAACCATATTTCATGTGAATATTCTTCTGAATATCAGATTCTGTTTTTGCTCAGCCAGATATTTTTAGGTTTTTGTAGACACTAGATCTTTTGCTTAGGTTTTATGGATACAGGCTCATGTATACACACACCCTGAGGGCATGTTGAAGAGCTGATAATCTGCCTGTCACACTGAAGCTTTTGTCACTGCTGCCCTTTTCAAGGACCTTGTTTCTCAGTCCCTCTTAAGGAGAGACAGAGGGAAAAACAGCGGGAGAGCCTGAGTGTGTCCTTTAGAAAGATTGAACTGACCCTGCTGCAGGAATTAGTGTTATCTGTGAGAGTATGTATGTGGCAGTGTACATGTGTGTACATGCGTTTTATTTGCTGCCAAATAACCTGTCATATCTGGCAGTGTAGCTCTGCATGAGTGCGTCCTCAACATCACACCCAGTAGCATTCATGTGAATGTGTGTTTGAGGGATTTTGTTATGAAGGTCCGCTCTGTCGAGGGAGTGACGGCTGAGGCTGGATATCTGAAGAATTTTAATTAATCTGCCTTTCAGTCTGCAGGGCTCTCCAATAAGGCTGTGCTCATTCACTCACTCACTGTCATTCACACATACAATCTCTTGCTTGGTCACACAAGCATGAACTGTAATTGCATGCTGTCCATTTCATGCAGAGTTTTAATTTGCACATACACACTCAGAATACAAACAAACACATGGTGTTCATGTAATAACACACTGCCATGCCTTAAGACTGTTCACACTGTTCACCAACACAGGAATATTATCTGTTATACTATAATTACATACATATTCAAAGTTGTACTCAACTAACCATCCCCACAACATCAGCATCATCTCTTCTTTCTATTGACTGAGTGAAGTCCCTTCCTTGCACTCCTGCCCCTCCTGCCCCTTGTTGTCTGATTAGCATTAGCACAGCAGGTTAGCTTGCACTCTGACAACTGGAGTGGTGTGGTGCTGTAGTTGCCCCAACTCCTGCCCTGCAGTTTTGGTCAAAGGCAGAATAAATGTTATCTAACCCCACACAGAGTGCAGTTGAATGAAGGTCATGTTTTGAGTTTGTCTATAAACCCTGGCGTTTCAGTGACTCCATCATAGTTGTTAACTGACTTTGGGTTCACTGAGTCAAAAGAAGAAGAGAAACAGAAACTTAAAATACTGTAAGAAAAAAAGATACAACACAGAAATGAAGGGATGTTTAAAGAAGCTTATACAGTCCCTCAATGTCCAGATATATGTCCACAAAGTAAACTGCAATGCCTTAGTGTCTGTGCTTCTAGATACTTCAGTGTATGGGTCTTTCAGTACTTTTTGACTTCCCTATTCCAGCTGTAGCATTCAGTCCAATATCCTAAAAATGTATACATGTCTGGTGCTCTAGTGAGTACAGCAGTAGGCAAAATAAACCAGTGTGTGCGCCTGTGGTTGTGAAGGAACGTGTCAGGCAGCAGCTGGTTTTGCGTAACGAATGCATCTTTATGCTCAA